AAAACATATAACGGTTGAAAGAGCTGGTAAAGGATGATGCGCAGCAAACTAGAGAAAGCCCTAGACAATTTGAGGAAGTAATCTTCATGCTCTTTTTAGAGAATTAACTACAGTTTGGAATTGTTATAATCTATACCTGTAGTACCACCGGTCTGTGCTGAATCCCTATAAGAAAGCCAAATGAGGTTAAAAAATTATTATAAAAATTTGATTCTATTTTTCAAATCTCATATGGTCCAATTGAAACCAATAATTACAGAAGAAAGGTACAACATATCTATCTTCAATCAAGGAACCAGATAGGATTTAAGTCGGTTTAGAAACCACTTTGATATTTGTAACCACAGCGTGTAGAAATCTTAGGACAACCTCGAAAGCAAGAGTAGTAAAAGGCAATTGAGGTTTTTGTTATCAATGGAATAGACAGAGGTACTATTACTTACTGGGTTGCTTGTTGTCGATTGAGAGACATAAGGGACTGTTGAAAAGCTAGCATTTGCTGCAAGAAATAAAAGGAAAAGGGGGAAAGGTGAACATAGGTGACTCCACTGTCAAAACAATACTTGAAAAAAAACAGCAAATAATCTGATATATAAAGTGAGGTAGCCTTAGCATGCCCATAAGACTGTATCAGCTACGGGTGAGCTTAAAGAAAGAAAGATATATTGATGCAAAATCATCAAGTTGTGTAAGCTTTTAGCATTTACCAAGAGAGAATTCAGTGACACTAATGTCATAGAACATACCTGCATTGTCTCAGGGGAAAACATCTGACGAAGTACTTCTGGGTTTTGCATCATCTCTCTCAATTGAGGATTCAAATCAAACATAGTACGTAGTTGGGGGTTGAGATTCATAATCTAAATAGTAAAAACAGATTTTTAACAAACTGAAAATAAGCAAACGAAAATCTCTTGACTGAAGTGATTCCTCAAAATACCTGATTCATATACTGGGGATTAGACATTATGCTCTGCATCATCTGTGATATTGCTGGGTTTTGCAATAACTGAGTCAACTGAGAAGCATCTGGCATTCCATTCATCATTAGAGGCAGATCTGGAAGTCCAAGGCTTCCCAGACCACCAACACCTGGTGCCCTCCTGGCATCCGCAGCAGGATTTGGCCTTGCAGTAGCATTGGTCTGGGCCCCCCTGACAATTTGCAGCACACATTAATTCATCAGGAAACCAAGATCTAAAACACAGATACAACAATCCCATTAAAAGAAAGAATCCCTCATCCACATTGCAAACAGTCAAAAGATAATAGTCCATAAGCATGCGACATTAAACAAGGGCAACAGACTGTAATTACATGAATCTCAATCAAACCGTTCACCCAACAAGTGAATAAACTCGGACTAATGCTTTGTTTTAAACATTGATCAAATCTACATAATAAAAAATACTTAGACCAATAGTTTTCAGGATCATGCTTACATAATTTTCCTCATCAATCAGTAGCATTAGGAATTTAGTTACCATTCATCTCAGCAGCAAGTGTATAAAATGAAAAATTATGCACATTGGACAAAAGAGTATAGCTAGACAGAAAAGATGTTTCAATGAAGTATAGAATACTTACCACCAACAACAGTGTTGCTCCAAGGGTTAGGGAGAGGATTTGTGTTTGGGGAAGTTTGTCCCTGAGCAGTTTCAGAAATAGTCGTAGAAGTGTTAATAGTTGAGTTTCTAGGTTGAGGACCCCTTGATTGCCCATAAAGCAGCAAATGGGTTTGAACCAGGGTTATTTCCAGTATTCCCACCCATAGTTGTAGCATTCAAAAATGGCTCCTGAACATTTTCATACATACGCCTAAGCATGTTAAATCCCTCAGGAGAGGCTTCAATACTACTCATAGCCCTATCAGTGTTTCGCATCATTTCACGCATGAGTTCAGGGTTTCTTGTAGCTTCCAATGTTTGCCGGAGAATGCTAGGATCATTAAGTACATGCCCAAGCTCAGGATTCCGATCAATAATTTCACGCATTTGCGGATTGCTCATAATCAAACTGCGCATCAACTCCGGGTTATTCATCAAACTTTGAAAGCTAAAAAAAAACATGTTAATTATACTTAAATTTTTTCTTCTCATTAAATTTTAAAAAAATAACGTTAATAAATTTTTTCATTGATATGGAAAATCGGGAAAGAGATTTGGTGAATTGATAGTGGGAATTTGGAAAGACAAAATTAAAGAGTTCAATTGATTTTTTTTTAATTTTGAGAAATAAATATTAAATTAGAATTTTATGGAAGAATAATTTATTAACGTTAATATAAAATTCAATAAAGATAATTGACACCTTAATAAATTCATGGGCCCCAATATTTTAATGAGTAAATTATGTATTTAGTACTTAAATTATTAGTTTTGATCTATTTTAGTACCTAAATTTTTATATTTTTCAAAATCATACGTAAAGTTTAGTTTTTGTTTCATTTTAGTACTCACCGTTAAAAACTTTAGTTTTTTATTTCATTTTAGTATCCATTCAAAATTTAACATTAAGTTTTATTTTTATTTTTTAAATTTTAGGTATTAAACCAAACCAAAACTGATAGATATGAACTAAACACGTTAAGTTTTTAACGACATGTACTAAAATGAAATGAAAACTAAAGGTTAGATTTGATTTTAAAAAAATTAAAAATTTAGGTACTAAAATGGATTAAAACTAATAGTATAAGTACTAAATGTATAGATTACTCTATTTTATTTTACAATCTTTTAATTTATTATCAGAAAAAATAAAAAATATTATACTGAAAAAGAAAATTATTTTGTGGGCCCTGGGCGGGTACCCCTCCTGCCCTGGCCCAGGGCCGGCCCTGAACACAAATTGAGCCGAAAGCTAAAACTTACATGCAGTAGTCTCACTACAGAACATGGTCTCGCTGTTTCACCTAGTTTATGAAGCCACCATGAAAACTCTAACGTCAAACATCGAACTTTTAGTTAGTTCACACTGTGGCAAACACGAACAGATTACAAACATTTTCAGAACATTCGATTTGGAACATTTACAGAATCTTTTCTTGAGTGGCAGTGCTACTAATGTGTTTGCAGCGATGCAGTGTGGGAGGGTCAAGTGTAAGATTAGCGGATATTGGCTTGGTGCATCGGCAAACCACATAGATTATTGGGGCATAGATGGCTGATTCCTTGCTTTGGCCGTGTTTAATAAGCAAGTAAACACGAAAATATTGTACCCGAGAACTTGAAGGGGTTGATATAGGCTTATGCATACATACTCTCGTGTTTATATTTTGAGTTAAATAAAAGACATTCAGATTTGAATATTTGTTCCGCTTCACACAACTAATAAGCTTTTCATTGATAACCTCAAGACCTTGAAAATGCAGCAGAATTCTCTGCCTTTACAAAACAAAGTTGCAAATCACAGAAACATATATTATTCATCAAAAGAAGGAAGACAGACATCAATCCTACACCATTACACAAACAAGCTCTCTACCTCACTCGGATTCTGTGGAAGTCTTTGTCGTCGTCTTTGGAATAAAGGGTGACCAAAGCATCCATCCTCGGCTGGACGAAACGCCGCCACCCAGAGCCGCTGATGCAGTACACGCCGTCTCCTTCACTCTTGCATTCAAACTTCCACCATTCGGACCCGTCGGTGACCGTTAAAACGATTCGACCACCGGGAGTGTGCCGCTACGATCAGTAAACCTCCACCTTGTTTCATGGTGTGCTGCGAGATTAACTTCCGCGATTGTTTCCATTTCTTCAAACTCAAAAGATTGCAATGTGGTTTTCACGCAAGTAAACGACAGTTAATATAGATATAATTAATTAATGACCAAAATAGGAGTGAGGAGAAAGTTGAGCGATTGAATTTGTAATATATCCTAATATAATTAATTTGCTTATACTTCCTTTTGAGAAATTAATTATAGGTTATAAAATTAGGCCGAGGTAGCCCCACGGCTTCATTTTTTTCGGTAGTGATGTCTGCATTTCTCAAAAGGCAGTATAAGCACAATCCCACATTTCCTTTATCCACTAAAAGCTTTTGAGTGTTAAGGTCTTGTAATCCCACAATCCCACATTTCCTTTAGTCACTAAAATCTTTTGAGTGTTAAGGTCTTGTAATCCCACAATCCCACATTTCCTTTAGCCGCATTTCCTTTAGCCGCTAAAGGAAATGTGGGATTGTGGGATTACAAGACCTTAACACTCAAAAGCTTTTAGTGACTCGGAATAATGTTTCATCTTTCTTCGCTCGAGTAAGCATACCTGGTTCTGCTATAAAATGCAGAATGAATTGTTTGAGAAATGCATCACATTGCAATCTTTTGAGTTTGAAGAAATGGAAGCTATCGCGGAAGTTAATCTCGTAGCACACCATGAAGCAAGGTGGAGGTTTACTGATCGTAGCGGTACACTCCCCGGTGGTTGAATCATTTTAACGGTCACCGACGGGTCCAAATGGTGGAAGTTTGAATGCAAGAGTGAAGGAGATGACGTGTACTGCATCAGCGGCTCTGGGTGGCGACGTTTCGTCCGACCGAGGATTGATGCTTTGGTCACCCTTTATTCCAAAGACGACGACGAAGACTTCCACAGAATCCGAGTGAGGTAGAGAGCTTGATGAACGTGTAGACATTAGTGTTCGATCGCTTGTTTGTGTAATGGAGTAGGATTGAAGTGTATGTTTGTGGTTTGCAGCATGCTTCTTTTGCTGCTGTATTGTTAAGGTCTTGTAATCCTTTATGTTATCGGTGAACTCTGGTTAAATGTACATGATTGTAAATGTTGTTGTATTATGATAAAAATTGAATCCAATCAAAATTTTATATATACAGTTATATAGAATCAAATTTTGTGTATATAATTATGTATTTAATAAAAGTTCATGTGTAGTTTTGAGAACCATCTCTATAAGGGAGCAGTAGAGGTTGACAGCGAGGTTGCTGCTATGTTTGTTGGTTACAAATAGTTGCTTGGTTTTGTAGCACATAGGTGACTTTCCATAAATAGTTCTATATCTACTGACGATTGAATTAACTTCAGCACATATAGGCCAACACTTAGATGAGAATGTTACTCATGCAGGCAATGTCAATGGTGCCATGGAAGAGAACAGAAATGGAGGATATGATGGTGGGCGAGGTTATGGAGCCAGACATCGAGGTCGTGGGAGGGGTCGTGGTTTCCGAGGGCATGCGAGAGGGTATGGTGGTGGAAATATGCAACAAGACTCGGGATATTACAACGGTAATGACCCATCAGGACCATTGCCTTCCCAGGGTCGTGGTAAGTTTTTGCTTCCAATGCTTTCTTGTCAATTTGCTGTTTTATTGACTAGAAGGCCCCACTTTTTTCCCCAACTTTCAACAAAAGCCTAAACACGTTTAAAATGATTGCTGTCACCAAATTTGGCTAATCAGTGATATTGGCAGGTCTTGGACGAGGACGGGGAAGGGGACGGGGACGGGGATGGGGAAGCGGTCCTGCTCAGGGTTTCGTATCTGATGGTCCATTCCAGAAAGGTGCTTGAGCTACAAGCACCATCCTATATCCTTCCGCAGAACTATGGCTTTAGATTGAAACAAAACCAGTGGATGGCTGCTCTATTCATCGCCAGTCTTTGTTTTAAACAACAAAAAAGTCATTTAGACATTATTTTAAGGTTTTGTTTGCGTGAGAGATTGTGCTGTAAGGGACCTTATAATGTTGGTTTTCATTCTAGGCCGCAATTTTTGTAGGAAAGTTGATAGGATAGTTCATCTCGCTCAACCAATGTTGTATAATTTTTCAGCTTTACTTTCTCCAAATAATAGAGCAGTACATTTATTCTTCCAAACATAGCTTATTCTACTATCTGTGTATTATACAAATGTTGGATACGATATGAATACAGATACATACATAACACTATGGAACTTGTAGTTCTTCTATGTGACTAACATGCATAGAACGAAAGATCGAAGCTATGCTTTCTTCAACACATTACATAGTAGAGAATATAGGAAGATGCATGTAGCATGTAGATTTTGATCTTCCAGGAGCTAACCCAAATTCCCATCTGCCATGGAATCTGCACATTGTAGAAGATATAGTAAGATGCATGTAGCATGTATATTTTGATCTTCCAGGAGCTAACCCAAAGATACTAAGACTTATACGGATAAGAAAAACGACAGCCTTACCCAGATTGCATCGAATCTGGCACTTGCGTTCACAACGCTGCCTAAGCCTTGCTGCAATCAATCAACCAAAATCAAACACAATCATAATTCATAAGCCAGAAAAAAAGGGTTGGTTTTTTTTCTCCAAGTACTTACAGTTGGTTAGAGAGCAACCAGTAGCACAAGCATCGAAGCAATCCACCTGTGGCTCGACGCTTTCCATCTGTGAACTGATAATGCAGAAAATGAAAACTGCAACTATTATCATATTTTTCGTTCCCATCTTCTTTTCTTTTTATCTTCTTTAACGTATGACCTTTTCACTTTGTTATGAAAGACTTATTTTGTTTTTATATAGGGAATTTGTTGAAAGCACCCATTTACTTGCATTAAACTACGTATTTGCCATGTCCATGAACAGCTCCCCTAGCAGCCATGCACGTGGGCCATTGATACTTATGGCACCGACTGCAAATTATACTCCCCTAGCTGCCTACTTTTACGTAAGTCAAATTCTGCTTTTAGTCCCTCTATTATACTTAAATTTAGGGTTTTTGTTTCAGCACATGTCAACATGTGATTCACTCAAGCCCTAGTTAACAGCACAAAGAAACTCCTTTTATTGAAATAAATCTATTAACAAACAATATATGCTAGCAGCTAGGTATATATATATCTAGCTATATATGGGCTATAATAACAGTGTGATATATCAGTTTCATGACTGTACAAATCTGACCTTTGAACTACTATTGAAGAAAGAATCACTCTTTATATCCCTGTGTAAATGACAAGAAAACTAACAATGAACTTCAAAAGAGTGTCTTCTGCAATGTTTGCAGAACTGTACGCTGCTAATGGACCAAAACTTGAAGCTATGGAAATGGCATTTCAAGCTAGAACTATTGCATGGGGAGCTTCTATGTCTTCTTCATCTGTTTCCTTGATCTCACTTTGTTTATCTTCTTCTGTTGCTTCATGTGAATCTACTGTTGGCACTGGTACTAACTGAGTTTTCTGCTTCATCTCTTTGGCTTTGCCCCATAGCACCACGTATACTCCACACACGATCATCAATCCTCCTATGATACTGTTGATTTCCGTAGAAAAGAACAAACAAGACAATTAAGATTAGACTCAAATTATTCGGATCTATACATAGAGATGATGATCAGATTCAGGTCATATACTTTTGAGTTTGAGATGTACATGTACGAGTAATTTTAGGTTCAGAATTTTCTCATGTTTAAACCGTTTCAAGTTTTTTAAGTTCGAATTGTTTTGAATTTAATAAAATTTTCAAGTTTAATACATTTAAGCGTAAGATTATCTCAAATCTAGTGTTTTTGAGTTAAAATTATTTTAGGTTGAAGGTATTTCAAGTTTAAGTCTTTTCAAGTTTATTTATCTTGCATTCATTTAGAGTTTTGGTAAGTCTCAAGTGACCTCGTGCTTTTTCAAGTTTGATACATTTAGGTCACGATTATTTTAAATTCGGGTCATTTCAAGTTTGAATCTTTTTTGGCTAAGATATATTTTGAGTCGAAGTTTTATCTTGCATTCATTTAGAGTCAACATTTTCAGGTTCAAATTATTCTAAGCTCGGTGTATTTTAATCTTAGAGCATTTCGAGTTCGAATTTTATCGGACTTCAATATTTTAAGCTCGGTTCTTTAGAATCAGACTCATTTTATCATCTCTATACAATATTTGTATCACAATCAATATGATTTTGTAAAAATGAAATGGTATACCTTCCTAAGTAGAGCTCTTCATCGAGCAACAAAGATCCAAGAACGGCAACAAAGACAAGCCCCAAGGGATTGAAAATAGATGCATACAAAGGACCCATCAAACGAACTGCACATGAAACCAAGAACACCAACAAAGCAGATCCCAGGATTCCCTGCAAAACAGCATCTTCAACATGTCCAAAATTTGCAGACATCATTGAAAAAACCTGAAAAGAAAACGGTAATAGCCATTAACATACCACATAAGCAACTGCTAGAAGCCTAACATTCTAGCCAAGCCTCCATTGGCTCCAATCTCTCACGGTGCAAAGTGCATCACAGCTCCTTGCATTCCTCCCGTTACACACATCAAAGCAGTGCTTGAATAGAGGTAAGGGAATTTTACACTCATTTTGGCCTGATGAAATTGAAACACAAGTATGATGAAGTTTGTGTAATAAAAAGGAAGAAAGAAAGAGATTTTACCTGTGTGATCAACCACAAAGAGTATGAAACGCAACTCAAAAGACCAAAAAATGCACCGAGAACGAACTTGCTGGTGTCTTGTGACGACGGTGATGTTGCCGGACTTTTCGTCGGTTGGGGATGCTTCAAAAGGTTTAAATGTGTCGACCAGATGTGTATCTCTATACCTTTGTAAAATGTGAACAACATTGCTCCACCTATTCCTATTAATGTCCCACACACTTTTGCCTGCCCTGCTCTTGTTCTTATTTCCAGTTTCTCCATCCTGCCATAAAAAATTCCACCCTTGTGAATAGCAACGCAGAGTTTGTCCCCGGAAACAAAATCCGACCAGACTCGATCGCATTATGGATACCGGAAACCGAGAAGTGTAAGAAATGTACTTGAAACAAATGGCCAAAATGAAAGTACAGGCTGGTGCAAGGTTGATCATGGCAGCAACAAAAGTTGCAGATGTATACACCAAGCTCTGCAGGTACCAGTTTTGACCTAGTGAACCACTGTTTCAAAAAAAAACTTCAATTTAGTCCTTTTTCTGCCGTTTTTCAACATAAAAAAAGTGAAATAATTCATGGGATTTTCCTTGTTCTTTAAACTTACCCGAATAATCCACAAAAGAAACGATTGAAACACTATCTTTCCATTGATCTTCTCCAAGCTCTTCCTGGGAAAAAAAGAAAGAACAGAAAGAAACTCAAAGATCATAATAACCTATGAACGAGTAAAAAAGAAAATAATATATTAGATTAAACTCGAACCTTTCGAAGATTAGAGCAAGGGGAACCATGATAGCGTAGGCAAACAAGAATCTATAAACCACAATAAGCCGCAAACTCATCCCATCATTAGCAGCCAGTTTATACATTACATTGATTCCTGCAAATATAAGCTGAACCACCACCATTAACAATGATGGCTTTAAACGATGAACAAGATTTTCAATACGTCCCATGCGGTAAAACCCAAAAAAAAATCAAAGAAAAAAACCTTTTTTTTTTGCTTTCTTGCTCCTAACCCCAAGATAAAATAACAGAGAAGATTGTTATTTAATTATTCAGATATATTTTTTTTGAAATAAAAAAAAAGATGAATTTTCTCTAACTTCCCATAATTCTATACAGAGAACGAGTCTTGGGCGTAGGGTCAGTTGTGAAATGAACTTGAACTGAATCCAGAGTGCCGCTTTGATTTTATTTTTACGTACTCTCTCTAGATTCTCATGCAAAAATAATATAATATTTTATTATTTAATATAGTATTAAACCCTAATTATAATATAGTTATAAAATTATTTATCTTAAATTCTAAAAATAATAAATCATCAAATAATGGTTTATAAAATTTATTAATTACTAATGTTTTTTATTAAAAAAATAAAGGATATTTGTCTTGAGTTGTTAAGTTGGTTAAGATTTAAATCTATTCTTTGGGGAACAATATCTATTATATATTTATTTAGTTAAATATATAATACCTAAATAATTTTATTTAGTAAAATAATATTTTTTTTGATAAAGTCACATCATATATGAAATGTTTTTCAAAACATGCGAGCTTTAAGATGTATTTTTACGGACGTAACAAATTTTTTTGACAGAATCTATAATATTAGTGTTATCTAAAATAAAAATGAGAATGAAGAGCAAATATATAAATGAATATCATATTGTTTATACATAAAAAATTTCAAGTATTTTTGCTTCTCTAGTTGATATGCTTGATGTGCCATCCGTTGCTTCTGTGATCCATCTGCTTCATTGTCTTCAGGGAAAGTATGATTCTGATAGGGAGCACCCGAAATTTGGTTGATGTCCGACGCTTTCAAAGGATTCCCATGATCTGCAATTTTGTTTTCATTTGCTTGCTTCAACCACATTGCAGAGACTGCAGAAAAATCAGAATTTGCCCCGTTGTACCCGGCTGTATCACCTTGAGCATTGAAACTTTGGTTAGAATTGAATGGCTTTGAAGTAGTCGCAAAACCTGCAATATCATTTTCGTTAATCAAGTCCAACCACTTCACCGAGAACTCCGGGAGCCCATATGTTGTGCCATTATCCATAGCTCTATCAACTTCAGCAAGAGCTCCACCTTTTTTATCAGTACCATCAAGAACAGGTTGGCTCGAGTCAGGAAGCTTGGAATCATCTTCGTTCTTCAGAATAAACAGAAAAGATCGCAGCAAATCTGGATCATGAGGTAGATGCAATCGATTGCCATTATGATACGAGCACATCTTGTTGAATATTAAAAAAAACACACACATGGGCTGCTTGGAAAAAATTAGGGGGCTGAATTTTGTTGAATTTTAGGCATGGGAAAATTATTTTGTCATTGGACTTTAGGGTATTTACAAAGATTAGTCCTTAAGCTTCTACTATAAATACGCTAACCTATTTAGCTTCAAAATCATCCCAAAATCCCAAAATCATCCCAAAATCCCAAAATCATTTCTT